TTCATCCAGAAACCCACCAAGCTGTTCAGCAACCGCTCTCTCAATCACCTTACCCAGGAATGGAAGATTCGAAACCAGGCGGTAATTGGATAGATCTAAGGGATCTAATGATGTTCTCTTTAAGAGCGGGCGCACCACTGCCTCCTTCAGTTCCCCTGGGAATGTCCCGGTGCCAAGGGACAAATTGATGATATCCCCTAGGGGGGCCCACACCTCGTCTGGACACGCTCTAATCAGCCAGGACGGGCACGGGTCAAGAGGACAGTTGGTGGGCTTTCCAGCTCGGAGGAGTCTGTCCACATCAGCTGGGAATATCTGGTCAAAGTGGTCCAATACTGGACCCGAGGACAGTCGAGGGGCCTCCAGTTCCTTTATTGTATCCAACACAACGCACTCAGATTTCTGCTGTAGACTGCCTTTTCTGTGATGTAGATATGATGTATCTGGGGGGTGGTCTTAGGTTACGCCCCTTCTGTGATGTATGTGGGGGTGGTCTTGGACTCCAGGGTGGGCAATTTAAAATGTCTATATAAGGACAGGCACACCTTGGTTCTGGGTTCCTCCTCCTTTCCTGCGTGTGAGGGGAGCACCCTCTTGCAACAGATCAATAAAGATCAAGCTTACTAGCTACTTTGCTTCTCAATATTCTCTGGTTGGCCTCTGTTATTTTCTCCTACCAATAGGGAACCTACATAAGGACTCTATATGGGCTCTTGGATACTCCATATGGGGAAAAGGCAGATTTTGTTTACAACAAGAGTCCATATGTAGGTTCTCTGCTTTCTCCTAAACTGTTGCAACAGGGTCCCTCACTCCCCCATACAGGAAGGAGATCTGTGTTGGAAATGTAATGAAATGAAATGAAATGAAATGAAATGGAGGGAACCTTTTTTCGTATGTGGCGGGCATTCAAAAAAGTTAAATAATATTGGGAAATGATTTACAATGAGATGGAAAAAATGTTTAAAACAACTTTGCAAAAAAAGGCAGGAGGCATTTTTGTTTGGAATAGTACTGTAATAATGATAATGATGATGATGATGATGATGATGATAATAATAATAATGATGATGATGATGATAATTTATTATTTATACCCCTCCCATCTGGCTGAGTTTCCCCAGCCACTCTGGGCGGCTCCCAATCGAGTGTTAAAAACAATACAGCATTAAATATTAAAAACTTCCCTAAACAGGGCTGCCTTCAGATGTCTTTTAAAGATAGGATAGCTGCTTATTTCCTTCACATTCAAGGGAGGGCATTCCACAGGGAGGGCGCCACTACCGAGAAGGAACCCTGTCTGGTTCCCTGTAACCTCACTTCTCGCAATGAGGGAACCGCCAAAAGGCCCTCAGCGCGGGATCTCAGTGTCCGGGAGGCCGTTTAGGGCTTTAAAGGTCAGCACCAAGGGACTGGAATTGATCCCATGTAACAAGACTAGACAGGACTCTAGCACTCTCCCGCCCTGGCCCTGCTTCCACAGTGGAGTCTACCTCCTTCTGAATCTGAGCGACTTTATCTGCAAAAAGCTTTGCAAAAGCATTGCAGGAGATCTTGGGGTCCCTACCAGGCCCTGGTGACGCAGGTGGTTCCGATAGATTGCGAACCACCTGAAAGAGTCTCTTGCTGCTGTTTTCTGCAGATGCAATGGAGGCGGTGAAGAAGGCCCTCTTCGCCCTCAGCTCCAGGGGAAACCATGGGGCTGTCCAGGCTCCATGCAATCGGAGAGGGCACTTTGGAGCCAGACAGTCAATAGCCCTGGTTAACTCTCCATTCCAGCGGGCCACCAAGGAATCAGCTGAAAGGCCATCTACTTGAAATAAAACATCCCCTACCACTCTCTGGAAGCCAATTGGATCCATTAAGTAGCGGGGGCGGACCATCCAAATTGGTCCCACCTCCCTGCAGAGGGGAAGGGTCACGGAGAAGTCCAGTTGCACCAGGAAGTGATCTGACCATGGCACTTCTTTTGTTTCACTTTTACCTATTGTCAGATCACCAACATCCGTAGAGGTAAACACCAGGTCTAAGGCATGTCCGTGGCTATGAGTTGGGCCAAACTTTTTCAGGGACAGCCCCATGGAGGCCATGCTTTCTACGAAGTCCCTAGTGGCCCCTTGTAAGGTTGTGTCGCCATGGATGTTAAAATCCCCCAGGACAACCAAACTGGGTGTCTCCAGGAGCATATCTGCCATGACCTGAAGCAGCTCGGGCAGGGAATCCTTGGTGCAGCGGGGAGGTCGGTACACCAAAAGGAATCCTGTACTGCCCCTATTGCCCAACTTCCAGAACATGCACTCAGAAAACTGGGTCTTCCCAATAGGACGCCTGGTGCAAACTAATGACTTCCTAAAAATCACTGCAACTTCCCCACCCCCCGCCTACATGACCTGGGTTGCTGTGCGTAAGAGAAACCTGGTGGACAAGCAGCGGCAAGGACAGGCCCATCTGCTTCATCCAACCAGGTCTCTGTCACATATGCCAGGTCAAATCCTCCATCCACAATCAGGTCGTGGATGGCAGTGGTTTTATTCATCACTGACCTGGCATTGCACAGCAACACCTTCAGGTCATGTGGGTCTCCCTTGCTGATTCCAGTATCCTTCCGGTCAGGACCAGACCTGGAGGCAGGGATAGTCCTCAAACAATGACTAAGCCTGCCTCCTCGGTAATGACATGGTATGGTCTTAGCGTAACTCCTCCTCCTTCCCGTGATCCCTGAGATCGGGTGTCCCAATACATCCTCCCCCCCCCCCGTGGAACCTGCCCCAGCCATTCTATTGGCTGAGGCCCTCTCCCCGGCAGCCCTGACCCTTCCCCTTAAAAGCAAAATACAAACTATACAATAACTTAACAAAATAATAAAAGTAAAAACAAAACAAGAAACAATTATGCTAAAATTAAACTACTCCCCTACCCGACTATATATTTATCCCACCCCAAGCAAAAATAAAATAATAAAATATTATAAAAAACCACCATTTGAGGTGCAGCAAATTAAGAACACTTAAAACATTTAAAACCATTTTCGCCACTTGCTGCAGGGAGCTGCTCAGAGTACAGTGGTACCTCAGGTTAAGCACTTAATTCGTTCCGGAGGTCCGTTCTTAACCTGAAACTGTTCTTAACCTTGTTACGGATAAATCTGGGTGCGGGGCTACTCTGCCACCCAGCTCGTCGGACTAAGTAAGTCCGCGGGTCCCTGCGGAAGAAAATGAGCTCAGCCAGACAGGAGCAAACTGCAGAAGATCCAAGTTTATTGCGCAACAGGTTCAAGACGAGATTGAACAGCGAAAAAGGGGTGGCATGAACTTTTGAAACTCCCTCCATGTCCCAGAATACAGTGCAAAATACATCCCAGTTACATCATGAATACATTAAGGAAAGGTTGGGTTACACAGATTACATCATGAATACATTAAGGAGAGGTTGGGTTACACTGGATTAACATATGGAGGAGGGAGGGGGGAATATGCAGAGCTGGAGATATGCACAGATAAGCACATCCTGAGAAGACAATGGTCCATGTATGCGTAGTCTGTCACCTGGCATTGCCCGGAGGAAAGGTTTGGCAGAGTGATTTTGACAGGATTAGGGTCTTGGTGATGGAGTCCTAGAGAAACTGAGCAAATATATTGTAGTGAAGAAGACATGCCCCCCCCCTTCCGTAACAACCTGAAGCACCACTTTAGCTAATGGGGCCTCCTGCTGCTGCTGCCCCGCCGGAGCACAATTTCTGTTCTCATCCTGAAGCAAAGTTCTTAACCTGAAGCACTATTTCTGGGTTAGCATGTTGGACTTGGTCCATATCTGCTATTGGGTCCCCGGAGCACAGATTCACACAAAGTGGCAATCAACCTTGCAGGATTCAAAAGGATTTATTTGAAATGCATATGCTGGACAAAGGCACAGCACGATAAGTTCGCAATCTGCACACCCAATTCTGAGCATGCCAGCTTTTCATACCCCTTAGAATGCATAGACACGTGTTCACACGTATATAATAAGATATAGCTTTCTTTCTTGTGTTACCCTCCTCCTTTTCAGTTCGCCTCCTCCTTTTCAGCCCCACACCACACCCCCGTCTGGGGTTACAATAACACCCATTCAACCTTGCTCTTATCTCTACCCGCCTAAGCCAGACATTCCAGAGAGAGAGGCCCATTTTCACTGTAACATCTAAGCAAGAAGAAAAAGCCTTGTTCTTCTGGCTGGTGTAAAAACCTCCCTCCTCCCTTTAAGGAAGGGTTGTTTGAGGATAACATATGAGAGAGGAGAAAATGCCTCAAACAGTTTTTGGGATCATATATAGAACAATATTCTAATGGCCCTTCAAGCGGAGTCTGTAACCTGAAGTGTACGTAACGTGAAACGTATGTAACCCGAGGTACCACTGTATGTGTGAGTGTAGGCCCCGCCCCCTACGCCCGATGGAATTGGCTGGAGAGGGAGCGGTCTTCCCAAACACTCACAGGAGCAGCAACAGCAGCAGCAATTATGAGAATTATAAGCTCTAATATATAAAATAAATGTTCATAAATGTACCAGGCAAACACATGCATAAAAATATAAACTACAAATCTGAAACACTGCAGGAAAGAAGACCTGAAACCATTTTGATTCTCCAAAATTGACCTCAAATGTTTCTCTGCAAAGAGGAAGGAAATGGGAAAACCTCCCCATTGTCTCACAAATCCTGTATTAAGGGCGCATCTGTGTATGAATAGGGTGAGCATGTGATCTGGATTCAGAAACTGAGTATTTACCATCACAAAAGAATGGCCAGGATGCCCAGGTAATGCAATCAGTGACCATTCTTAGGTATCCTGGCAGATAGGATTTCTTCAGTAATGTATGCATGATGTATTGGGGGGTGGCCTTGAGCTACAGGGCAGGCAATTTCAAAAGTCTATACAGTGTTGTTGAGCTTTTTTTGGGAAAGAGTGACCAGAGTTGTGCACCTTCTTCTTTTTTTTGGGGGGGGGGGAGGCGGAGTCACATTAGAAATCAGGTTTTTCAGAGTCGTCATTGCTGGAGTGGTCTGGTGAATCAGGATAATCTTCATAGTCTTGGTAATCATCATCTGGCAATTTGTCACTGCTGGAATGCTCCTGTGGATCGGGGTTATCTAAGTAGTGGCAATCGCCATCCACTTTTGCCGTTGGTGGTGGGTGAAGTGTGATGCTGCTTTGCAACACCCTCATCACACTCCAGGATGGCTCCCCGTCATCACTTGGGCCTTGCTGTGGGGAGAGGTACTTAAGGAGACGGGGACAATGGGGTTCCGTGTGCGCTTTGTGTTCAAAGAGGATATGACGGACACCTTGAGGGCAGTTCGTAAATAGTACGTGAAACCTGGAGAGGAGAGAGAAAGGGAGGAGGCTGCTGGGTCTGGGGGAGGTTGCAGAGAGGAAACGACCCCTTCCTGGAGGGGCGGAAGAGGGGAAGCCAACAGTAGGGGGAGTCAGAGCCAAGGAGAGACAGAGGCAGACTACTTTGTCCCCATTCTCCTCTTAGTTTTGTCCCCATTCTCCTCTTGCCGGATGTTAAACAAGAGGAGGAAGCTCGCAGGTAGTCAACCAGATGAGCTGCTTGTCAGTAAGACACTTGGAGGTTTTCTACAATCTAGTGGTATATATCTTTTATGAAATATATACACAAGAAGGCCTGCACGTCGTAGCAGACGAAGGTTGGTGGGACCCCTTTCACCCTCATAGACCACCCTCCACTAATTTAACAAAGCTTGCATTTTCTACTCAGGCTCAGCTCACCGGAAACCAATATAACAAAAGAGGTTCTTCATAGTCTTCATATTGATATTCTTCAAGGACTTCAGAGTCTGCAGACAACAGCTTCACAATCAGTTTATAGTATGAACCACGCTTTCTTGAAAAGCTGTTTTTTTTGGGGGGGGAGAGAAATTATATGAGCCTGGGATAAATTGAGATCCAGCTGTTAGAATTCCTGCTCCATGATTGCAATCATGGGATTGTTGTCTATGACATGACGGCATATGTTTTGACTCCACACAGTGGGAAGTGACAGAGACAGGAAGTTTGTGTTACTGTGTTCCGTGAAGTGGGACTATTGTCCTTTGTTTTTTTCCTCTTTGCTGTCTGATGCTAGAGAGAGAGGGAGCCATGTTGCAGTGCTCCGTGTGTGTTTATATGTAAATAAAGTAGATTAGCCAAAATGCTGAGTTGCTGAGGTCTGTCACACAACTGCGAAGACTCTGCGGATCCCTAAGTGTGCCAATGTCTGTTGGCATCGGTCGCTGTGATGTTTGGGCTGAAGAAAGATTTTGAAGCTCCCGAACGATCGACCAGGAGGAAGAGAACATGCCAGGCGGGCATGTGTCTCTGCCAGGGTCCTACACGAGTGTAGGACGAGCTCCTGACACCAGCTGGGCACATCAACCACCACTGTTTCTGCCACTGCAACATGGTGATTGAGATCTTGGAAGTACTTTTTTTTCTTTGTTTAGGGGTACTCTCATTTTGACTCAATAAAATCACCATGTTATAGTTCAAATCGGGAAAATAAAGAACATGTAAAGTACAAAAAACATGTAAAGTACAAAGAACATGTATTACTTCATATAACACAGCTGACGATTCACCGTGCTAGAAAAGAAACGACATTTTTTCATTTCTTCTCCCGTTAGATTCACAAAATGTTTAGGGGTATGTATACCCCTGCGTCCCCCAGGAAAAAAGGACTGGATCTTGGTACCTGCATTTTTATATTTCTGGGTATCTTTGGTCAGGGAAGTGAAGAGACTCAATATTAGGAAGTGTCTTGTTAACATTCAAAATAAAACTAAAAGATGGGTCCCAGTGCCTTCCTGATGAACACATGTGGTAACTAATTTGGACTGGGTGCCACTCTAAATAAGCGGAGACAATCCCTAATGGGCAGTAGCTCAGTGGTTGGAGCATCTGCTTTGCATACAGAAGGTCTCTTGTTCAATCCTTGGCATCTCCAGCTAAGACTGAAACCCTTGGGAACCACTGCCCTCTCTGTGCCGCCATGGAAGTCATGGCCAATGGCAGCCTTCATTCCTCTAGACAACTGCCCCTGGGGCTGAAGCCTAGGTCCAAGCAGACCCTCCCCTCTGCCTCCAACTCACTGACAACCTCTATCCTTGGGATCTCACACATGCCGAGAACTTTGTTTAGGGTGTCCACCCTCCCTGCGCCCCAGCACTCACTCACCAGTCCTTCACCTCAATCGTGGGTCTGGCTTCATCCATTAGTTCATCCCAGTAGCCCTCGTCCTTCAAGGTGATGAGCTGAGACTTGCTGCAGGGCCTGAGACATTAAGGAACACCATCACTACCCCCACGTCACCATCACTACCCCACAGCATTGGGGGATATGGGTGGCGCTGTGGTCTAAACTACTGAGCCTCTTGGGCATGCCCATCAGAAGGTTGGCTGTTTGAATCCCTGTGATGGGGTGAGCTCCCATTGCTCTGTCCCAGCTTCTGCCAACCTAGCAGTTAGATAAGTACACCAGTGCAAGTAGATAAATAGGTACTGCTGTGGCGGGAAGGTAAACAGCGTTTCTATGCACTCTGGCTCCCGTCACGGTGTCTCATTGTGCCAGAAGCGGTTTAGTCCTGCTAACCACATGACCCAGAAAGCTGTGGACAAACGCCGGCTCCCTCAACCTGAAAGCGAGAGGAGCGCAGCAACCCCATTGTCGCCTTTCACTGGACTTAACCATCCAGGGGTCCTTTTACCCACAGCTTTTGGACCACGTGTTCTAAAAGGCTCAGCAGCTGGCTATTGTGGGCCACCTCCAGCTCCCTGGAAAGAAAGTTTGCCCCCTCCTATGCAGAGGCAATAAATGATGGGCTGCTAGCAACCCATTGTAGGGAAAGCCATTGGGGGCCTGGCTCTCCCCACTCCCCACAACAACAAAAAAGAACAGCTCATTTGATAGGATTTGGTGATGCAATTTGCTTCACCTTTTTGTGACCATTGCATTTTTATATTTTATATTTATTGGGGGGGGGGCTCTCCTTATGCAGAATGCAGTGTGAAACACAAGAACCCGCACCAGGGCAAATGAAAACTCCCTTTTCTCATCTTTAATTGGATTTGAGTTCGGACAACGATCGGTTCCTCACCCGTTACATGCAGCAAAGCATTTGTAGACCTGAACAGGAGCATCTTCATCATTTCCCCAATAAATGCCGATTATCCTACAGATGATTTTTGAGTCTTCTATGGACTGTTCCTCAGTTTCCCAGTGGCCCTCGGCAGGTGTCTGGATTTCCCAGGAGTCCAGGCCATCTGATGCAGTGTGTGTGGTAGGTAAAATGAAGGGAGATGCTTTGAGTGCATGGAAGCAGCCCGTGGGTTAGAAAGAAAACAAGAATGACTTAGGCCACTTTCAGACTGTCACTCTTTCCAAGAGGGACCCAATTGCATAATGGAAAGTTCAGGGTCTCAGATTCAGGCTGGTCTGATGATCGTGTTGGTGCTGACCTTTAAAGCCCTAAACGGTAAGCGGTCCCTATTTATCTACTTGCACCTGAGGGTGCTTTCGAACTGCTAGGTTGGCAGGTGCTGGGACCGAACAACGGGAGCGCACCCCGCCACGGGGATTCGAACCGCCAACCTTTCGATCGGCAAGCCCTAGGCACTGAGGCTTTTACCCACAGCACCACCCGCGTCCCTACAACTGACATTATTACATTGGGTCAATTAATTCTAATAGATCTACTCTGAGGAGCAGGTGTAGGGAATCTTTGGCCCCCCAGATGTTGCTAAACTACCATTTCCATCATCCTGGGTCATTTCTCGATTGCTAGGGTGGATGGGAGCTGTAGTTCCGCAACCTCTAAGTTCTCACACCTGGAAAAAACAAAGTGCTTGGCTATTTAAAATATGCATATATATATATATATATATATATATATATATATATATATATATGCTTTCGTAGATTTTCACGGGTACAGGAATGCAGGTTTTGGTGTCCTCGGGTGTCTTCCCGTGTAAAAGTTGGGGTGTCTAGGCGACGTTTCGACGAGGTCTCACTCGTCATCTTCAGGCTGGTGCTTTCGGCTTCTTGTTACTGGAACAGAGCAGGATCTCAGTGTTTGAGTTCCTATAAATACTGTTGAGGGGGTGTGGTGTATAGCCTCCAATGTTCTGGGCAGAGAGGAAGTTCCCAGGCTAGTGTGCCTTTTCTTCTTTTGTTCCTTAATTACTTGAGGGATATCTTGAGTGATTTCTTGAGTGATATTCTGAGTACCACTTAGGTGGGTCATTAGGTGTGGATAAGTTGCTAAAGCCTTCGTGTCTTGACCTCTTGAACTTTGTGAAGAGTTTTTCTGAGAAGATGGCTGTACTGCACTTAGTTGTGCTCTGGCTTGGCTTCGTGTATAGGGGCGAGCTGTGGTTTTGTGTCCTGTGCCAGCCAGATCTGTGTAGGGATTGCAGGGGGGTGCAGCATCCGGAGGTGCCACCATGGTTTGGCTACTGGATGGTGTCTGTAATTTATCTGTGGAGAGGGTCCACAGACCCAAACCCAGACCCTCTCCACAGATAAATTACAGACACCATCCAGTAGCCAAACCATGGTGGCACCTCCGGATGCTGCACCCCCCTGCAATCCCTACACAGATCTGGCTGGCACAGGACACAAAACCACAGCTCGCCCCTATACACGAAGCCAAGCCAGAGCACAACTAAGTGCAGTACAGCCATCTTCTCAGAAAAACTCTTCACAAAGTTCAAGAGGTCAAGACACGAAGGCTTTAGCAACTTATCCACACCTAATGACCCACCTAAGTGGTACTCAGAATATCACTCAAGAAATCACTCAAGATATCCCTCAAGTAATTAAGGAACAAAAGAAGAAAAGGCACACTAGCCTGGGAACTTCCTCTCTGCCCAGAACATTGGAGGCTATACACCACACCCCCTCAACAGTATTTATAGGAACTCAAACACTGAGATCCTGCTCTGTTCCAGTAACAAGAAGCCGAAAGCACCAGCCTGAAGATGACGAGTGAGACCTCATCGAAACGTCGCCTGGACACCCCAACTTTTACACGGGAAGACACCCGAGGACACCAAAACCTGCATATATATATATATATATATATGAGATACAATGTGTGTGTATGTCTGTGTGTACCGTATATAGATATACAGTGGTACCTCGGGTTACATACGCTTCAGATTACAGACTCCGCTAACCCAGAAATAGTGCTTCAGGTTGAGAACAGAAATCGTGCTCCGCCGGTGCAGCAGCAGCAGCAGCAGCGGGAGGCCCCATTAGCTAAAGTGGTGCTTCAGGTTAAGAACAGTTTCAGGTTAAGAACAGATCTCCGGAACGAATTAAGTGCTTAACCCAAGGTACCACTGTATAAAGATATATATATATTGGCCGGGCGATAACTGGTCTTCAAGGCCACCACGAGGCCTTGCAGATTGTCGCTGCTACTGGCAACCTGTATCGTGGTCATGGCCAGGTGTTTCTGCCACTGCTGCTTCTTCTGTCTCCTAGCAGGTCTGCTGGTGGTCTGGCAGTCCAAGGTTATTTGTATTCACTATGACTCACCATCGCACTTTGGAGTGTCCTGAATACCACCATTTGGTAGCCAAGCCCAAGACCAAAAGTCCTGTTGGGATGCATTGTGGCTTGCCTGCTGCTGATTGATAATATTGTCATTTATCCGTTTTAGACCCCTAAGTAGTAGCAGTTGCCAGGACATTGTCCTGTTCGCCTCTTCCATCCTTATTTCAGACACGATGGTAGATTGCAATGTTTAACTGGTGACAAGACTGCAGCGTTTAGCTGGTGATATTGTGAGCTTTAGCCGCTCATAACATTGCAGTGTTTAGCTGGTGAGTTATTGTGATATTGAAAACCAGATATCGTATAGCCCTTATACACATTGTGATTTATGATATATTACCAGCTCAAATATTATGAAAAAATTATCATCAGGGGAACTTCAAACCAGTTTTGGACGATATATCGCCCAGCCAGAGTGTAGACATTACTGTGCTAGATGAACCAATATTGGGACTCAGTGCAATATAGCTTTTTATGTTCCTAAAGGCTTTGTGATTCAGATCTCTGTCCAGGAGCGTTTCCCTCTCCCAGATAAATGGGAACGTACCTTGACCATCAGGGTTCTTGATTAAGTTCTTCTTTAGGCGGGAGAAAATGTAGAAAGACAATGGCTTTGGAGAAGAGTCGTGGTCCCTTTTCTGGAACTTGCGCTTCCACAGAACTGGTAGGTCTACCAAGTCCCGCCAGTGAGAGCAGACCAGCCGGCAATTGCAAATGAGTTCGCTAGCTGGGACCAGGGTCAAGATATCCAACAGAAGGTGTTCGGGCAAATTTTCCATGTTGGCTGCCATCTCCCCTTCAGTGAGGTCTCAGCAGCCTGAAGAGATGAACCACGAAAGAGGGGAGCAAGGGGAAGGAGCAAACATACAAGATCTGTGAGTGGGCCATAGGCAAGGACAAGCGGGGTACTGCAACAAAATGTTGCAGTGTTAAATGCTTCAGTTCAGCTGCTTTATACCTAGTCAGACCCCCTATTGATCCATCTAGCTTAGCATTTCCCAACCCTGCTGTCCATTGATTCATGACCCCCTCCCCGAGATGAGTGCAGGAAGTGGAAAGCCATGCCATGCCATTAAGACTTGTGTCTCCTATTCCTGGTTCAGTTGGAGAAATTTATGTACCTCCCAGTTTAATAGTGAGCAGCTATCACAAATCTCTCTGGCTCCATGTCCATACTAGGATCCAACTTCCAGGGGTTGATGGGGCTTCACTTCCCCATAGAATGTTTGAGGGAGGCCCCCCCCCCCGCCCGCAAAATGTTGATTCGCATTGCCATTCAAATGGTGTGCAGGCGCCACATCATCATCATCATCATCATTGTTAAGGAAAAAAAAGATATATATTGGAAACCATGGAGGAGCGGGGGAAGCCTGGGGATTCAGTGAATCCCATAAATGTATAAAATCAATTAAGTTTAAATACAAATCTTATGTGTAAAAATGAAAAAAAAGAAAGATCCACCGTCTTGGATGCGCTTCTCCCCCCCCCATCTTCCAGGGGTTGATGGGGCTTTGCCACCCCATAGAATGTTTGACAGATGCCCCATCAAGTTGATGGGCACTGCAATTCAAATGGTGTGCATCTCTGCATCATCATCATCATTATTTATTGAATTTATATACCGCCCTATACCCAAAGGTCTCAGGGCGGTTCACATAGAAAGATCGCAATATATAAATTAAAAATACCGTATTTTTCGCACGATTGGACGCACCGGACCATAGGACGCACCTGGTTTTTTGGGGGGGAAATAAAGGAAAAAAATTTCCCCTTTATTTCCCCCCCAAAAGCAGGTCAGGGAAACCGAACCAGGTCGAGGAACAGCGGGATAGTGGCGCTGCGCCTCCCTGCTGTCCCCCGAGCTTGTGGGGCTGGCTGATGTCTGCCTGGCGCGCGGGGCGCTCTGCTTCAGGGCGCCCCACCCGCCGGGCGGCAGGCTGCTATCCGCAGCGTGGGGAGCCCTGTGGGGAACTCCTGCAAGGCTCCCCACTCTGCGGATGTCTGCCTGGCGCGAGGGGCGCTCTGCTTCAGGGCGCCCCACCCGCCAGGCAGCAGGCTGCTATCCGCAGCGTGGGGAGCCCTGTGGGGAATTCCTGCAAGGCTCCCCACGCTGCGGATGTGTTCCTGAAGCGCCTGGAGCTCTGCTTTCAGGGCGCCCGACGCTCCGGGAAGCAGGCTGCTATCCGCAGCCTAGACACGGCTAGCGGAGCGCTAATCCCGAAGCTTGGGGCGTGCGGAGCTGAGCGCGCCCCAAGCTTCTGGGCGCCGGCAAGGTCTCCGCTAGCCCTTGCTGGCGCCCAGAAGCTTGGGGCGCGCTCAGCTCCGCACACCCCAAGCTTCGGGATTAGCGCGGCGCTTCGCTAGCCCTGGGAGAGCCCCGCGACGTCGCGGGGCTCTTCCAGGGCTAGCGAGACCTTGCCGGCACCCAGAAGCTTGGGGCGCACTGAGCTCCGCACGCCCCAAGCTTCGGGATTAGCGCGGCGCTTCGCTAGCCCTGGGAGAGCCCCGCGATGTCGCGGGGCTCTTCCAGGGCTAGCGAGACCTTGCCGGCACCCAGAAGCTTGGGGCGCGCTGTGCTCCGCACGCCCCAAGCTTCTGGATTAGCGCAGCGGTCCGCTAGCCGTGGGAGAGCCGCGCGACGTCGCGGGGCTCTCCCACGGCTAGCGGAGACCTTTCCGGCACCCAGAAGCTTGGGGCGCGCTGAGCTCCACACGCCCCAAGCTTTGGGATTAATGCAGCGCTCCGCTAGCTGTGGGAGAGCTGGGTCTCCCACGGCTAGCGGATAGCTTCCTGAAGCCTGGAGAGCGAGAGGGGTCGGTGCGCACCGACCCCTCTCACTCTCCAGGCTTCAGCGAAAGCCTGCATTCGCTCCATAGGACGCACACACATTTTCCCTTGCTTTTTAGGAGGGAAAAAGTGCGTCCTATGGTGCGAAAAATACGGTAAAAGCAAGAGCCCAATAATACCTCCTTTAAAAGAGCCACATTTTAAAAGGGTATGGGATGTTGATCAGGTCAACCAAAGGCCTGGTTAAAAAGGAACTTTTTGGCTGGCGCCTAAAGGTGTATAATGAAGGCACCAGGCAAACTTCACTGGGGAGCGCATTCCACAGACGGGGAGCCACTGCAGAGAAGGCCCCGTTCTCGTGTTGCCACCCTCTGGACCTCTCGAGGAGGAGGCCTCAGAAGATGATCTCAGGGTCCAGGTAGGTCCATATGGAAAGAGGCGGTCCTTGAGGTATTGCATCATGTGATTGATTATGCAAGGCAGGGCTTACCTGCCCCTCCCCCCACATTTTATTCAAGTTGGCACCCCTGTCAGGGCCAATACATTTTTTTTGAAGGGTGGTGTGTGTGTTCGATCTTCACTCATACTAGTCTACCTTACAGGGGTGCCGTTCCACAGAACCTGCCTCTTTGTGAAGAGGGACACTTTGAGCATGTGCAGAGTTCTATCTGAGAGCCCAAGTGCAAATGGACTCCTGTCGGCTGCCCTTCCCAGATCCTGCCCCATTGTAAAGATCCACCCTTTGAAGAAATACCAAAGGACCTGAAAAGACTCTTTATGTATGTGACAGCTGCGAGGATGCTTTTTGCCCAGGGGTGGAAATAAGAGAAAACTCCAACCAAAGAAGAATGGATAATCAAGATGGTGACTATGCCGAAATGGCAAAATTTACCAGGAAAATCAGATACCAAGATGATAAGAAATTTAAGGAATGGAAAAAGTCTATAGAATACCTTAAAGATCACGACAAACACTTAAAGACGTTGGCAGGACTTGTGATTTTGTAGGGTTAAAAGTGGATATAAACAAAAGTGGATAAATATAATTAGATGCAGTAGTAAGAAAAAAAGATATATATTGGAAGCCATGGGGAGGCGGGAGAATCCCGGGGATTCAGGGAATCCCATGATGTATAAAGTTGATTATGCTTAAATACAAATGTTATCTGTAAAAAGAAAGATCCACCCTCTTGGATGCGCTCCCCCCCCCCCCATCCCCTCCGAGTCTTACCTGGTCTGGAAGGAGCGCAGGAGCCGCGCGGCGCCTCCGAGAGCAAGTCTGGTCTCCGCCCCGCTCCACCGCCAGGCAGCAGGGAGAAAACGAAAGCGATCCTAGTCCAGGCTCTCCATTCCCAGAAAGGACCCGCCCACCGCCATCAATTCCTCTCGTCGGTAGGGGAATCCCCGCCAGGGCGTATTTGCATCAGATGACGCGCCTCTAGCGAGTCAACGTATATTTACAAAAATATTGTAAAGAAGTGGACTCACTAGCAGGGTTTGAGTAAACACTTACAATTAAGAAAACGTATATAAAAGTCAAGATGCAACAATCGGGAGAACAACAAAGTGTAAGAGCTAATTCGAAAACATATGGTAAAAAAATGATAAGAATACAACAATATTTAGCTAAATGATTACAAAACTAAGGTAGAATAAAACAGGCAGGAGAAGCAAAGACTTAAAGAACCAGGAAAGGAGGTTGAGGGTAGTCACGGGAGGGGGGTGGGGTGGGGTGGGGAGAGATTGGGATTTATATATTCTTTTCGTGATAATGATGATTGTGTTGAATAGAAAATTGCAAAACGTAATAAAAATTACTTTTAAAAAAATATCTAGCCAACGCGCATCTCAAACCCAACTTTGCAAAGGCAAGAGCGGCGTGGCCAGAGGCTCCATCCAGTAAAACAAAACCATTGCAAATGGATAAGGGTTAGTGGCGAGCGTGGACCATACACACCTCATCCCAAGCCTTTCCCTGGCTCAGGAGAGTTGGCATCTGTGACAAATGACCAATAGTACTCAAGGGTTGCCCAGCATCCTGCTCTAAGGACGATGGAGTCATCTATGGAGATGAGGATGTCGTCTAATCAGGGACTGGAGGCTGGCAGACTCCACACACATGCCCATCTCCCATGGATTTGGGTTGCAATTTAGGGTCGGAGTCACAAGACCAGGAGAATGCAAGCACAGAGGAAATATAATAGAATGGCAATAAAATCTGCATTGGAAATACTGCCTGCCTATGCCCCGGGAGCAGAAAGGTCTCCTTGCTTTGGGATCAATATTGCAAAGGGTTCAACGCTGCCAGCCTCTTAATGGGGCTAGATAACATACCCCGATTAACCATTATCTGCGACGTCGAGGCATCAAGCCACAGTCATAGAAAAGTAAGTTATGTAAAACTATGAATATGTACACAGACACACATATGCCGTATTCTGAGAGACAGTGTGGTGGACTGGTTTGTGTTGGATTCGGACCTGGGAGACCAGGGCTGGATCTGGACACACCAAAGAAGCATTTCAGTTAAACGCGTTCTAAACTTTGTATGGGAAAAGTGGAACTCCACAGCGCCATCTGGTGTCGCAGTGTTATAAACAACGCATATAAAGCGCTTTTTCTTTGCCAATGTAGGTGAGTCCCAGGGCTAAAATCCCCACACAGCCATGAAGCTCACTGTGTGTGACAAGTTTTTGTGGGCCAGAGTCAGTCCACTTTTTGAATTATGCTCAGTTGGGAGGCATGTAGGTGCAGGTGAAAAGAATGGGCACAGCAGGTCCTGTGGGCAAACCTTTGGGTAGTAGCCAATGCTGGTCCTACGCAGAGTAGACCCATTGAAATCCACAACCAAAGTTCAGTTCTCCACATTTCAAGATCAGGATACATTATGTGTTTGTTTTCCTCATGAAAATTCATCCGTACACAAATTCCAGAGACAAAAGTTGTTCAGCCTTTTTTTTTTTTTTTTGCGAAATCTCAAGAATAAATGAAGTTTATTCTGGGGCTCTTCTCATATTCTTATGCTGAAAATGAATGAATCGGTGGTCTGATCTACAACCCCAGCCATACGCAGATGTATGCAACTCTGCATATGCTCAGAATTCCATCCTCCTCAGATACTTGCCATTTGATTTCCCTTTGGATGACTAGAGTCATCATCCTTATGGGCAAGAAGGGATACTTTCCTTCTTGCCCATTGGGCAATAAATTAAACATTCCTGTTGGGCATAAATTAAACAGAAAAGAAAAGGATGAAAAGGATCTAGGGGTCTTAGTAGACCCCTGCTTAACATGAGTCAAAAGGCCACGCAGCAGCAAATAATGCTAATGCGATTCTAGGCTGCGTCAACTGAGGCCTAGTGTCCAGAGCAAGGGAAATAACAGTACTGCTCTATTCTGCCTTGGTCAGACCACACCTGGAATTCTGTGTCCTGTTCTGGGCGCCACAAATTAAGAAGGATATTAACAAGTTGGAATGTGTGCAGAGGAGGGTGACTCAGATTATCAAGGGTCTGGAAACCAAGCCCTATGAGGAATGTTTGAGAGAGTTGGGGATGTTTATCCTGTGAAAGAGGAGACTGAGATAAGAGGAGAGAGGCATCTTAAGGGCTGTCAATAGAAGATGGAGCAAGCTTGTTTTCTGCAGAGGTTGGATGGCCACCAGTCAGGGATTCTTTAACTGTCACTTCTGTGTTGCAGTGGTTTGGACTACTGTAGATGGGTAACAATGAAGATATTTCCTGTTTAAAAATCTACTGAATGAAGACTTCCTTTTTCTGAACTTCTGTCATGTTTCACCAAAAGGTGTGATTCCTGATCAGATGTGACTTCAGTTTAGAAATGAGCTGAGCGATACATTTTAGAATTCTTTGGAAATGCATTTATTTTAAGACAATTGGCTTTGCAGAGAACAGCCATCCCTTGCTCTGCAAAATCTTCATGGGAAGGGGAGAGAACGTGTTGTGGTCCTGTACTCAGACATCATCCCTGCTGCGTCCAGTAGGACTTACCCCAAAGTAAGAGTGCACCCAATGCCAGCCCTACTAGGAGTAGACTCACTGGAGCTAATGAACAAAGAATCATGGAATTATAGAGCTGGAAGTGACCCTAAGGCTCACCCAGTCCAACCCCCTGCAATGCATGACTAACAGGCCCCTTTCTTTCAGTGGGTCTCCTCTGAGTAGGTTTCAGTTGCATGCAACCTTTAAAATACTTGTTCTGCCAAATAATTCTGCCCATCTACCCCATCACTGCCAATCTTGCACATAATTTTGTGGTTTGGGTAAGTTTAGTGCATCATTTTTAAGTGGGGTTTTTGACCCCAAGTCGATTCTCATTTTTGAAGTCCAACATGCTGGAGAAGATGGTGTTCTTTCGAAGCCTTCAGGCATCTTCTCCGCCCAGAAGTACTGAAGAAATAAGAGTGTGGGGAGGGGGCCCGGAGGCTCCCCCCACCAATTTCAGGGTGTTGTGTTCCACCAGTGGAAGGAGAAGGGTTCCCGGAGGACGTTGGTGCCGCAGTGGACCTCGCCAGACAAGATGTGGTAGGAGAAAAAGTCATCGATGAAGGTACAGTTCAGCCCCAGCGGTTCCAGCAAGGAGCGGACTTTCTCTTCCAGGCAGCACTGCCCATGGATGATGGGGCCAAATGGCTTTGGGATGCCCAGGTGCTTCCCCAAGACGAGCATGTTCACCTAAGCGGAGCAAAAACAACCAAATGCTACAGTCTGGGTTGGTTTTTCTGCCATCCTAGCTAAAGTTCAGCATGTAGAAAGCTGCCTTCTACTGAGTCTAACCATCCATCCAGCCTAAAGTTCACTACACTGACTGGCAGCAGCGCCTTTCCAAGGTTTCAGACAGCGGGTCTCTCCCGCTCTTAGCCAGAAATGCCATTGGGATGGAATCTGGGGCCTTCTGCAGGAAAGGCAGGTGCTCCACCACTGAGTTATGCCTCCACTTAAAAGTAAAATAAGTTTCCAGCCCTCATGGGTCTGAAGCGAGGACTGGTTTCAAAAGGAACACAGGGAGCTGTCTTGCACCGAGTCAAATCATTTGGCTCAGTATTGTCTACATTGACCGGCAGTGGTTCTCCAGGATTTTGGTGCAGGCAGCCTCTCCCAGCCCTACCTGGAGATGCCATTGAACCTGGAACCTTCTGCTTGCAAGGCAGCTGCTCAGCCACTGAGCTATGGCCCCTCCCCATCTAGCTCAGTGCTGCCTACACTGACTGGCAGCAGCTCTCTGTGGGTTACTGCTCTGGAAGCCGATTTCCAGAGAAAAGGTTTGAGCTGCGCTGGACACCCCTGCACAAACGCCAAGGAATGACGGAGGGAGGAAAGCCCCTCACCATGTCTGGAAACAAGGCGGTCGCCGTAGAGTCTTCCAGAGTGAACAGCTGAGGGATGTCCACGATATCTCTCTCACTCAGGCCCAGCTCCCGCTTCAAAATGCTCCGGTTCCAGTCGATGCAACTCTGGAAGAAAGAAGATGATGCAAAATATTCCCCATGGGCTGTAAAACCCACTTTGTTTCATGTTGAATATTTGCACCTGAAGGCAGCAAAGCTGCCATGCATTTTTAAGCTCAGGATAGAAAGTAACAGGTTTTTAAACTTTTTTAAAAAAACAACCACAAATTCATGAGATATTAAAAAACAAATCACAGGCCCCTCCAGATTGGTATTTTATTGTGTGCATATTTTGCAACATGCTCTTGACACAATAATATTGCATTACTGGTGGGGTTTTTTTTTGAGGGACGCGGGTGGCGCTGTGGGTAAAACCTCAGCGCCTAGGACTTGCCGATCGTATGGTCGGCGGTTCGAATCCCCGCGGCGGGGTGAGCTCCCGTCGTTCGGTCCCAGCTCCTGCCCACCTAGCAGTTCGAAAGCACTCCCGGGTGCAAGTAGATAAATAGGTACCGCTTTATAGCGGGAAGGTAAACGGCGTTTCCGTGTGCTGCGCTGGTGCAGGCTCGCCAGAGCAGCTTTGTCACGCTGGCCACGTGACCCGGAAGTGTCTTCGGACAGCACTGGCCCCCGGCCTCTTAAGCGAGATGGGCGCGCAACCCCAGAGTCAGACACGACTGGCCCATACGGGCAGGGGTACCTTTACCTTTACTGGTGGATTTATTCTGCATCATCATCATCACCATCACCATCATCATTATTTCTTCTATCCCACCTTTGCTTCTAGGAGATCAAGGTAGCAAACATGCTTCCCTTCCTCCCCATTTTATCCCCACAACAACACCGCAAGGTAGGTCTGGCCCAGAGGCAGTGATTGGACCCCAAGGCCACCCCATGAGCTTAACGGCTGAGTGGAGGATTTGAACCCGGGTCTCTCCCAGTCTGACACTCTAGCCACTATACTACACTGGCTTTATTAGCTGTTCTACGATGTTTCCCCAACTGCTATCACATTATTGTTGTCCAAGGGACTCTAGTGAAATGGAAACAGGGTGAAAATATACCCAGAACGCTTGTGGCATAAAAAGGTGTAGGATTTCAGCTGTAAGTTATGGGATATACATGGATTGGAAACGAAGCCCCCAAAACACAGCAAGGTGCAAATGCAATGGAGACTGGGATTGCTTATGACTGCCCCAATACCGTCACAAGCCCAAACCATCACAAATGCACAAATGTGTTATTGCTACTTCAGGGTAGGTTTGGGGTTTTTTGCCTCGCATCAGTCTTGTTCACACAACCACCGTAAATAGTTTCCTGGGACAGCATTTTTCTGATCAATTTGACTCGGCAGGCCTTGTGCCAGGAGGAAACTCAAAACCCAGGTTGGTGAACCGATAGCAACTAGACTTGATTCCAGTAAGCCATGATTTGCAGCCGAGATTTATATTTTTTTTCCATTTAAGAAACCAGGCCATATGAGGAAAGCTTGAAGGAGCTGGGTCTGTTTAGGCTGGAAAAGAGGAGAGTGAGAGGAGATTGGATAGCCATCTTCCGATATCTGAAGGGCTGTCACATGACAGATGGAGCAATCTTGTCTTCTCCCGCTCTGGAGGGTAGGACTTGAACCCATGGCTTCAAATTACAAGAAAGGAGATTCCGACCAAACATCAGGAATAACTTCCTGACAGTAAGAGCTGTTTTGACAGCGGAGCGGACTCCCTCAGGAGATGGTGGACTCTCCTTCCTTGGAGTTTTAAGCAGAGCTTGGATGGCCATCTGCATTGAGATTCCTGCATTGCAGGGGGTTGGACTAGATGACCGTTGGGGTCCCTTCCAATTCTACGCTTTTATGCTAGATGTAATGTTACGCCAGGGAGCAGGGTTTGTTTCCTTCACACGTTAGTTGGGAAGGATCAAAGGAGCCCTCAGAGGGACAGTCAGGGCAAACTGTTACCTGTGGTTCCCCATGATGTGGGAACCACACCTTTAGCAAGCAAGAGCTTTCGCTCTGGTTTTCGCCTCAGGGTAGTGTTCACATATAAATGCAGCCATGCAGATCTATGGCACAACCGCATTTGAAATACCGTGCACCGTTCTGGTCACCTCACCTCAAAAAGGATATTGGGAAAAGTCCAGAAAAGGGCGACCCAAATGACCAGGGGAAAAGGCGAGCGAGAGGCGACATGAGAGTTTATAAAACTACATGTGGTGCAGAGAAAGTGGATGGAGGGAAGCTTGTTCTCCTTCTCTTGGGACATCGGACGTTGTGGACATCCATGTTGGAAGATTCGGGACAGATGAAATCAAGGACTTCTAGAGTTAAACTGTGGAACTCATTGCCACAGTTTGCAGTGATGGCCACCCACTTGAAAGGCTTTAAAAGACAGACTTATGGAGGAGAGGGCTATCGAAGGCTGTTGGCCACAATGGCTCTTCCACTCTGCCTCCGCCCATTGCTGAATACCAGTTTCTAGGGATCACAAGTGGGGACTTTTGTTGTTGCACTTGGGTCCTTTTTGTGGCCGCTGTGAGACCAGGACGCTGGGCTGGGTGGACCATTGGCCTGATCCAGCAGGTTCTCCTCATGGCCTTTACTATATTCTACCTCAGCTACAGCCAACATGGCGTCCTGCAGGTGGCCTCCAACTCCCCTCATCCTCAGCCATCACGGCCCGAGGGTCGGGAATGAGGGGAGTTGTAGTCCCTCAGCACCAGGAGGGCGCCATCTTGGCTACCCCCTTTCTGAAAAATAAAGCAAAGTAAATAACTTTAATCAATTGTGGTTGTAGAAATTGCCACAGCAATCTTGTTCATTTAAAACAGCCTCATGAACTGAAGCACTTCATAATTCTCCCATTTTACTTCATGATTGTTGTTTAGGTCAGGAGAGCAATCTATGCCCCCTGCCCATGTCTGAGGTAAAAAAACAAAAAACCTTAGCCGTGCCTTTTTATTTTATCTCCAGATCGCCTCAGTTTAGCTAACCACAGTTGTTCTTTCATAATTGCTGTGGAATTTGGTCTCTTGTGTGGGTAGGAGAGCAGGGACGCGGACTTATAAAAAATATTGGGGGGGCCCGGGAAAGCTCATGAATAATAAATAAGCTCATGAATATGCAAATAAAGTGGCTCCGGCCCTAAATAGGGCAAGCCACGCCCCCCCAGCCAGCCGATTGGCTGGCTGGGAGGTGTGGCCAGTCGGGATTCCCCTGTTCTCGCGGGGGCTGAAACCGCCAGGAGGAAGGAAATTCCCCCCGGCAGTGCCTTGGCAGTGGCGGTGGTGCTGCGAAGCAGCGAGGCAGGAGCCCCCGCCCCCGGCACCCGAGATTATTGGGGGGGCTGAGCCCCCCCCAAAATTTTTTTGAGGGGGCTCGAGCC